GTGGGCGACCAGCTCCACCCGACTCTTCAAAGCTACTATGTCCTCGGGCTCATCTTCGGCAGGTTGCAGGGCAACATTCATTTCCTCGACCTGTTTACCCAAGCGTTCGACTTCGGCCGCCAGGCGATCCCTGTCTGCCCGAAGAAGCTCCCCTTCCTCAGTCAACTTCCCCGACTTCTCCTTCTCCAGGGTCAACATCTCCCTCTCAGCATCGAGCATCGCGGTCTGCTCTCGGAACATCCCCTCGGAGCGTTCCAGAGCGACCTTCAACTTCCGTGAGCTCGCGGTCAGTGCCGCCTTCTCCTGCTCGAGTTCTTCAACACGGGCAGCATCCCCTCCATCCTCAGATAGCACCAAAGCCATTTCGGCCATTTTTACCAGCCCATCCACGCTGGCGGCCAGATACGCCTTTCGTTCCTCTTTACTCATCTTTTTTATGGCGGCAGCCTCATGGGCAACCACTGTCGGAGGAAATCGCTCGAAAAAGCCCGCCTCCTCGAAGCAAGGGGGGAAGGCGAAAGATTTAACAGCACCAGCGTCCTCACCGACAGTCGGACCACCTTCCACACGGGTCCTCTTCCGCTGCATCAAAACGGCACTGGGGTCGATCTCCTCGACTTCTGGATCCGACGCGGGCCTCGAGCTCGACGGCGATTCCACCCTCGCCGACTGAGGAGCGTTTGGACTTTGTGACGGGCCCATTCTCGTCGCCTGTGGGGGCTTCACGACCCTCCTGCCTCGCCTCTGGTCGCAGGATAATTTCAGGAGCCTTTCATGTCGGCTAGCCATCGTACCTGCACGAAATAAAGGAGAAGTCAGTATCGAGCAAACTTCACGAGTAAATGACGAATAAAGAATGTCAAGCAACAAACAACCTAACAGGCGAACAGCCTGCCTGTATGTCGGGCACTCCACCAGCGCCTTGGTGTCAATCGGACGGGACTCGAACGTCGGGTAACCGTCTTTGTCCAGGATATCATCCCCTTCCCGCGTAACCCATTGGGCGGGATGGAAACTGTCGACAAACCGACAAAGAGTGTCGTACGCCCGCTCGTCTTCCGAGCACATGTCCCCGGCGGCGGTATGGTAATAACCGGTCCCATGCTCGTAATGCCGGGACATCCAGTATACCGGGACTTTAGCCCTACGACCCAACACGGGGCTCCCATCGTCGCCCATCATCGTTTCCCCATCATCGTCGCTCACCGGCCCCTCCTCCTCGAAAAAGGAATTTAAAGCAGCGTCGGTAACTGGCCGTACCACGTACCACTTGTCTTTAAACCCCCTCACGGAGTCCATATACATCTTAAAAAGCCTCCTCGACTGCTTCAGGGAGACCCAGCTATGTTTCCCTCCTCGGGACTGACGCTGCAGGTGAAATATCCGGAAGAAAAGCGGGATGGTCGCCCCGATCCTCAGGTATCGACACGTCAACTCAAACGCCCGGATGAAGGCGAGAGAGTTTGGGTGTAGCTGGGACGGGGCCAGCTCCAAGTGCATAAAGACCCCGACCTGGAAATCAGTGAATGGCAGCCGCAGCCCTAGGTCTTTGAACGCGATCTCATACATCGCGAGGCTGTAATTTGGATAAACCGAGCAAATCCTTGCACGGGTTGACGGAAGCATAACTACGAAGTTTTGTTGGAAGCCGGGCTGGTCTTGACCCTCTTCAATGACAGCGAATGGATGTCGGTCGTCCCGACTATATACCGACGCTATCCCCCGCGGCTCGACGCCCACCCATTCCAGCAATGGGTCGGTCACGGTATCAATCAGGGTGACCGACTCGTCGGCACTCTGTTCTTCGCGGTCGCGGCGTCCGGAGGAGCTCGGCTCGTCCGCCATGGTTACCTGCAGAGCACGGGAAACCAGTCAGTTGAGCACGAAGTCCTACGCTCGACAAAATCACGTCGTCCCATACACGACTACATAAGTCCATTTCCACAAATGGCTGCCTCCCCGACGTCCTGAACCCGGTGTTCTTCCTCAAACCAACTGCGCGACCACTCTCCAAGCATGTCGACCCGAGGTATGAGCATGGCGAGCCGCACCATGAAGCCCACGGCCAAGACCATGAACATACCGGGCGCGATCATGAATCAGGCGCCCTGGATCATGAAGACTACGGGCAGCCCTGAAGTTTATCACCTAAACTATGAATGTGCCGGCCACAAACATGCGTTTGCCGGTCCTAGACATGAATGTGTCGGGCTGAGCACGAGTTTACCGGGCTAATCCCACGCGCACGGTCCTAAAACATCTACAAACGCCGGATATCATGCATTCTAAACAGAAAAATGAAGAAGATAGACCACTTACTTGGATCAAAGAGTGAAATTTGGCTACGAAATGGAAGAATCTGTAACGGAAAGTCACAACGGGAGAAAGTCTGGGAGAGCAGCAGCAGAGAGAGCACAGAGAGCAGAAAACGTATTATGGGGCCCAAGGTTCCTATTTATAGTGATGACGTGGAATACCAAACGTCACCTCGGGCAACCACGGACTACATCTCCTCGACGCGCTGCTCCCAACGCAATGATGACCCTACCCCCATAGGGTGGCGGCACAGTTCCCGAAAGATACCTCGTGTGCTCGACCGACGCGCCCGGTAAGGATCCTCCGCGTATCCACCACCGAGGAAGTCTCCGAGCACGACACGGGGAGGCCCCTCGAGGGACCACACCTCTATCCCCGGCACGAGACCTCAACGAGGGAATAACTTGGGCTCAAGTCATGGCTCCTCGCAAAGGAACCACGACTTGGGGGGCTCCTGTTCTGGACTGGGCCCGACAGGCCCAAAAGCATTGCTAAGGCCCAGTCCAGAGGGACTTACTGAGGACCACGCCGAGCAAAGGGGTCACATCCATGCCCGACATCCTGATGTCCAGCTCGACATCCCACTGTCCAACTCCGAGTGATGATGTCCAGCTCCACCTCTTGACGTCCAGCTCGACATCCTGCCGTTCAGTTCCACGTCCTGACGTCCAGCTCGACACCCCGCTGTCTAGCTCGACGTTCTGACGTCCAGCTCGACACCCTACTGTCCAGCTCGACGTTGTCTCGAGCATCCCAACTAGGGCAGACTCAGTCCACCGTTCCCCAACGATACTCCGGAAAGACCGCGTCTTCGTCCGCCCGCACTTCACGCAGCACATCCAGGAAGGGGACCACGTGCGGGTCCCCACTACCCACGTAGAACCTGGCAGTTCCTCCATTGGGCCAAATCCGCCCGGCCCAATGAAGGGACCTTGGCCCAGCGCTGGGGGCTATAAATACCCTATGTTTCCAGAGGGTCAGGTATTCATCATTCTAACCTCAACTTACTATTATCTGCTCGTACTCCTACTTACTTCAGCATCGGAGTGTCTTGCAGGTACCCCCTCCACCTCGTTCAAAAAAGCTTTCTGCTCGGAGCCAGCCGTGACGGTCTATTTCTGATCAGGTCAGATCAGTAGCCAAGGTTCGTATAGAGTGTCGGAGATAGGTGGAGGAGAAAGAGTGCCATCAACGAACTTGATCTTGTTCTTGGAGATAAGAACCACTTTCATTGATCTGGACCAGATCTGATAGTTCTTGGTATCAAGAACAGGTTGAACAAGAACAAGAGAGGGATTCTCATTAGGGTGCATGTAGTAAGGATTGGAAGGATTGGTAGCAAAATCAGAGTAAGGAAGCGCCATAACAAGCTGATGCAGCAAAGGAAGGAGAAGGCGCGAAGGTGCGAAGAAGAAAGGCGCGGAAAAGAGAATTCAAACTGATACCATGTTAATTTTAGAATAAACTCATAGTATTCATCATATTATGGAATGTACATAACAGTATTATATATACTGTTAAAGTAATAAACTATTTAGTAACAAACTAAATAGAATTGTAACCAACTGTAACAAACTAAACTAACTGTTTAGTAACAAATTAAAACAGAATTATTTTCATCATATAATATCATATAAATCAATCTTTCATTTAAAGAAAAACAGCAGAAACACTTTAATTGCAAGAGATCATGACGTAAATCCAGTCTAAGACCACTCCATCGAGCCATTTCCAGAGAGCAAAGATTGTCAACTTTTGTCTTCTCATGCAAAACTTTCTCCTTTCTTCCTTAGGAAGGATGATATCATCAAATACGTCATAAACTCTTCTTGAACTTTGAATATGGCTGCACATGAATAGCATATTGTCCTAATTCAAAAAGGGTTAGGGAAGCCATAAAATACGATACATCGGTGATACATAAAAGAATTTAATTTCTTGCTTTGTTTATTCCATGATCAACAAATATTTACAAAATACCTATACACTACATCTTAAGTAACTAATCATACACAATCAATACAAAATAATAAACATTAATATACAAAATATATATAATCAATTGCAAATTCAAAAATCTTAATGGTTATTCCTTAAGCTATTATATATCTGATTGATACAAAATTATAATTATTCTTTTCGTTTCAAATGGTTTAATATTTTATACAGAAATTAATTTTATTAATATATTAGAAGTAGTATAAAAAATAAAAAAATAAATAATATAATTGAAAAAATAATAATTATTACTATGTTAAAAAGTGAAAATGAAAATCAATCTAAAATAAAATTTATTTATTAAAACGATAATTATTTATTAAAACGATAATTATTTTAAAACAAAATAGTATTTGATGTCAGAAGTAAAATTGATCTTTGAATTAATTAAATATTTGGATTTTAATAGAAAATGAAATTCCATTAAAGATGAACATTTGAGTACTATTCTAATTTAATTTTCGATGGAAATAAAGTTTGGTAAGTCAATTGCCTCTTTGAAATATGAAAATAGATTAGTAGATATGAGATGAATATGATAGAAAAAAATTCAGTAGTATTTTTTTTCCAAAATATAACATAAAAGAATAGAATTGGTCAAATAAAATACAAAACTAAACGCCGCCTGTGACTAACAGCTTTCTATATAACACAAACACAGCCACCCTTCTTTCTCACACAATAAGATGTCGGCAGCATCATCCATCACCGCAATCCACGTGGAGAACATCGAGTTCCCAGCGGTGGTTACCTCTCCGGTCACCGAGAAATCATATTTCCTCGGCGGTGCCGGTGAGAGAGGGTTAACTATCAATGGAACTTTCATCAAGTTCACTTGCATTGGAGTATATTTGGAGGACAAAGCAGTAGAATCTCTTGCCACTAAATGGAAGGGTAAAACCTCCGAAGAGTTGCTTGATACTCTTGACTTCTACAGAGACATCATTTCAGGTATGTATAACATCAGCATCTCTACCATCTATCTACACCTCTGAACAAAGTCGTGTCAGGTGTCTGTATTTGTTAAACACAACTCAATTATTACGTGTCATGTGTCTATGTCAGTGTCTGCGTCTGTCTGTGTTTCTTTTCTTATCATATTCACTAGAAGTATATAGTGGCAAGTTGATTGATGAAATGGTGATATTTTTTAGGTCCGTTTGAAAAGTTGATTAGAGGATCAAAGATAAAGGAACTGAGTGGTCCTGAGTACTCAAAGAAGGTTATGGAGAACTGTGTAGCACATTTGAAATCTGTTGGAACATATGGAGATGCAGAAGTTGAAGCTATGCAAAAATTCGCTGAAGCTTTCAAGACTGTTAATTTTCCACCTGGTGCTTCTGTTTTTTACAGGCAATCATCTCATGGAATATTAGGGGTTAGTAATACTACCCGTCTTATTTATAAGAAAAAATTTACTTTTACTTTTACAGATTAATTAAGCTTTGTAATTAGTTTTTAATTACTATTTAACTAACTAATCATTGAGTATTGAAAACATTGGTTGCAGCTAAGTTTCTCAAAAGATATAAGTATACCAGAAAAGGAGGATGCAATTATAGAGAACAAAGCAGTGTCATCTGCAGTGTTGGAAACTATGATTGGTGAGCATGCTGTTTCTCCTGATTTGAAGCGCTGTTTGGCTGCAAGATTACCTGCATTGTTGAATGAGGGTAATTTCAAGATTGGAAATTGATGACTTTTTACATCTTCAAAACTGTTGCAACACATGCTTCAGAGCATGTACTTTTTTTTTTTTAATTTCTACACTTGTTTTTATTTTTTATTTTTATATTCATCAATAATATGAAAGATCTCATTTTTTATTAGTATTGATGTGATGGATAGTTTTAACTAGTATTTTAATCAATAAAAGTGTTTTGTTTTGTTCATCAATAATATCTTAACTAGTATTTTTATATTCATCAATAATATGAAACATCTCAAATAGAGTTACTTAAAAGAGTAATAAAGGTAATTTGAGGGTATGTGTGAGATTCTTAATGATCCCTCACTCTTAGGAATAGACTTTTTGAGCAAAATTGTCTACACTTGTGAGTTTAGGTAGACTCGTGAAAGGTCTAGAGATTTGATTTGTAAATTCATAAATTTGATTTTATAAAAGCTTATGAGTGAACTGGATACATAATAGACCACTATATCTATGAAAAATAAAATGATGATTCTATAAAAACTTGTGAGTGAATTGTATACATGATAAATCACTATTTCAAACTTTATAATAGAGTTGTTACCGAAACAATTCCATAATAAATATAAAAAAGATAGAAAATTTTCTCGACACTAGGCAACAAAAAGACAAAAACTATTAAAAAGAACGACGTTATTTAAAGAAAAGTTTAAAAGCAAAAAAATTATACATGAAAAATACAGGATGAAGTCTTTCCAAATAAATCAGAAATATATGAAATAATTTCTAAAGAATATCTTTCATACATCATACATTATTGTTATGTATTATATCGGAGACTAAGATTAGTCACTGCATAAACACTTCTATTAACTTCTATAAAAATATGATGAACTCTAATCTCTCAATCTCTATCTTTCTATCTCTACTGAGCATCAATATAATATTGAGAGAGGTCTTGTCTGACTGGATGATAGATACATTTTCATTGATAGCTTTTATACACCATATTATTGTCAATTTCGAGGACAATCCTCTGATGCCCTCGATTATAAGCCAACTGAAGACCAAGATGAATAGCTTTCAATTATACTTCAATAATAGAGGTAGATCCCATATTATGGGAAAATATGTCACACTAAGACCTTAGTTGTCCTTTAAAACTCTTCCACAATCTGCATACAAGTTTCTCTTGACTGCTCCATCAGAATTAAGAGCAAACCAATCATCATTTGGAGGAGATAAGCTAATGCGATTAGTGACTTCCCTCTTTTTATGGACCTTCTGCATAAGATTTGTGCTATCTTTGTAGATATTTATTTTTCTTCTAATTTCAGTTACCATATTTGGAGGCATTAATGTAGTCTTCATTATGTTTCCTTTGATTTCTCCAATACCACGACATGTGACATGAAGTAAGTAAGCCCATGTGTTGCCCCAGTCATGATCCTTTATGTCATTTAGATTGAAATCAATCCTCTCTTGCAAACCACAACCAAAGAACTTTTTCCTATTTGTCTTATCTGTAACGTCTCGATATTTAATTAAATATTTTTTTGAATATTTTATATTAATTCGAATTTATATCGTCGAAGTCAAAATTATTTTATTTAGTGGCATGATAAATAATCAGATTTAATTTGGTGGAAATAAGTTGAGGTATAATTTTTATTATTAAGCTTAAATATGATATTGGGCTTAATTTACGGTGTTGTGAAGTAATAAAGGGGTATGTCACTTAGGCTCATTTAGATTTATTAAGAGAGTAAGTAAAATAATACTATTATAGTAAAAATAGAATTAGAGGAGAAAGAGAGTATATTGTTATCAAGAAAAAAAAAGAAGAGAAAGAGGAATAGGGGTTTTGAGAGGAGAAGAAGAACAAGAGGAAGTTGCTACTAGTGCCAAATTTCCAGAAATTTCATTGAAGTTTTTTAGAGTTGCACTCAATCCAAGGTAAGGGTGGGGTTCTTGCTAAATAAATGGGAGTATGATGAATTTTAATTGGGGTTTAGGGTATTAGTTTCACTACTATATTGTGTTGAAAATTGGTTGTGTTGTTATTGAAATTAACAATTGATTTGAGCTGTGTTGTTAATTATTGTATTTGAACTGTGTTGGGTTAATGCTAAGCTAGGATAATTGGTAAATTGAAACAAAGAATGAACAAGAACAATGCACATGTGTGAAGGGTGGCAAACTGGGTTTTTAAGCTTCAGGCTTCCTGACACAGGTCGTGTCAGCTGACACGGGCATCCGTGTCAGCCTTTGCGCTCCACGCCTTCCCCTTTCTTCTCCTGACATGGCCGTGTCAGACAATACGGTCACCCGTGTCAGAGCTGCTGTAGCAAATCCTCCAAAACTTGGACTTATGCATTTTTTTTTCCGCCCCGATTCGTCCTGTTTTATTCTTCTGCACCTAAAAGCACTAAAACAATAAACCAAAGCATAAAATAGGATAACAAGAAATAAAACATCAATTAGTTGAACGAAACAATAACTAAGTAACTACTAAATTCCTGTGTAAAAATCACTGATCAGTAGCCGAATTAGGCGGTATAATTAGTTGTCCGAAATTTAACGAAATTTGACCGGGTAACTAAGTTTAATTAGTAGGTAAATGTGGATATGTCTTTTGTTGAAATTATGTTGATTACGCCGACTTTCTGGTACAGCTGGTTAAGTCGTTTCGTACGGTTTATGGACATTGTTGATTATAGGTCTTATGACCAATGTTGTATTATTTTGTGTTGATCGATGAATGTGTTGTTGTTGCGAGATATCATTGAGTATATGTGGAATTCGCTATTGATAATGTGATTATGAATTATTTTTGTGGGTAGCCTTATGGTGTGAATCCTAGTGAATATATAATGAATATGTTGTTGCCATTAATTGTTGTTGATGACGTTGTAGGACAATGGCCAGTGAAGTAGTGATATAGGTGTATGCCTCGTGAAGTGTTTAATGATGTTGTTGTATGTGTTGTGCATTCATACATTTGCATTTGTGAAGGCCTGTATTGTCGAATATTGTGAAGGCCTGTATTGGCGAATTTTTTGAAGGCCTGTATTGGCAAAATGATTTGTGAAGAAGGCTTATGTCTTGTGCCTCGAGATTACTGGAAAATGTTTATGTTGGGAGTTTTACTCTGATGGTACCACATGAATTTGCATAGTTCCGAGTTACATATTTGAGTCGGATATGTTGAATTGTGGTGTTGATGATTTGTGAAGTGTTGAGTTATTGTTGTATGAAGGGGCAATTCTTTTTATTCTTTACCTAATATATTGTTTATCATAACCCTATTTATATAGTTTGATATCGCACCCCTTCTATTTGAATGTTGTCCTTTGTTGGTAACGTGCAGGTAACCAAGATGAGCAGTCGATATCATTTTTAGTTCGAGTTCGGTATCATTTTCTCTGATACGTAGCACTCGGGGGAAATGAACGCTTGTCTTATTTTGTTGTTTACTTATTGAACCTTACGTTGTTATTCGATGAGTTTATTTTATTGATGTTGTTTTATGATTCAAAAGATGCTATATCTTATTCAGAAAACTATTATGAATCTGTTGCGTGATTAATCAAAGTTTGGTTTATGTTATGAAGATTATATTCATGAGTTATGTTCATTCCGCTTCTTTAAGTGTTATGTATGTATATATTCTAAAAGCATGTCAGGTTTAGGTGTTTTTGTTGAATATGTGACATCCTGATTATATTGGAAATTTTTATACTTTGATTTTTCGATAATTTCTTGGGGTAGAATTGGGGCGTTACATTAATGGTATCAGAGCCATATCTCTCCCATTACGACGTGGTTCAAGGACGAACCATGTGGAAGCTGGTGGGTATGTAACACTCGAGACCGAAAAGGGTGAGGAGTGGTTACACCGTATGTAACACCTGATGCCTAAGAGGGAAAAGGTGGTCGCGACATCGGAATGAGAGGGATCCCAAGGCTATGCAGGTATGGGACTGCATAGTTGAAGGAAGGCTTATAAGGATTAATTAGTACTACCTATACCAACAAGATGCATCTTCTTTTCGGTAGCTCATTCATAAGAACTCCACAGTTAAGCATGCTTGACTTGGAGCAATCATGGAATGGGTGACCTTCTGGGAAGTTTCCCAGAAAGCGGGTGAGTGAGGATAAAACATGCTAAAAATATTTGTGTTGGTTTGCGGGGTTAGTCGGTAATCCTTAAAGTAGTTCGGGGCATTACAAATGGTATCAGAGGAAGTCGGTCCGTCCGGCCAAGTTATCAATTCGTAGTTGTTTAACAATCGAGTATTATTATTTTTTCTTAACTGTTAATTGTGTTGAAGTGGTAGGATAAGATGGCTGAAAGGAACGATGTTGTGATTGTTGTTGCTCTGCAAGCGATGGCTCAGGCTATGCAGAGTCAGCCTAATGCTGACGAGAATTCTGGATCTCGTAGTTTGGCGACCTTCCAAAGGGAGAATCCGCCGGTGTTCAAGGGTAAGCATGATCCTGATGGAGCACTAGATTGGTTGAAGGAGATTGAGAGGATCTTACGTGTGATGGATTTCACTCCAGCACAGAAGGTTCGATATGGCACTCATATGTTAGCAGTTGAAGCTGATGACTGGTGGCTAGAGATGCGTGCAAGGTTGGAAGCTGTAGATGAGGAAATCACTTGGTTTATGGGGTTAGTCGGTAATCCTTAAAGTAGTTCGGGGCGTTACAAATGGTATCAGAGGAAGTCGGTCCGTCCGGCCAAGTTATCGAGTCGTAGTTGTTTAACAATCGAGTTATTATTTTTTCTTAACTGTTAATTATGTTGAAGTGGTAGGATAAGATGGCTGGAAGGAACTGTGCTGTGATTGTTTCTGCTCTGCAAGCGATGGCTCAGGCTATGCAGAATCAGCCTAATGTTGACGAGAATGCTGGATCTCGTAGTTTGGCGACCTTCCAAAGGGAGAATCCGCCGGTGTTCAAGGGTAAGCATGATCCTGATGGAGCACTAGATTGGTTGAAGGAGATTGAGAGGATCTTCCTTGTGATGGATTTCACTC